CCCCAAAACCCCAAAACCCCAAAACCCCAAAACCCCAAAACCCCAAAACCCCTCATGAGGTGGTCTAAATTGAATTTTGGGTAGAGAAATATGGTATAAGATGGTAGGGAGCAATAAGTGGTATTACAAGGCTGATAGAAGGAAGGATATGGCATAAGCAGGAAATGGGTAAAGAATAACATTTTGAACTAATTCAGGTAGGTTTTGAAGAATATATATAGCTTTGAGGAGATAAGAAAATAAAATATCGCAAGTAAATTAACTAATGAAATGCTTTAGAATGAAGTTAGATTCATTTTATATGCTGTTATAATAGGCTTAGCCAGTATACATTTGCTGCTGCTTTGGTTTGAGATCAAGCTTGATAGATTCACTTGATGTGATCTTTGCTCCTGGCTTCTCACTACTAGAAAGATCGTTTATCATGCTTAGAGATTTAACGACCTGAGACTTTTGTCCCTCTGGAGTAACGTGACTGATAATCATATTGTTTGATTCATTTTCATCGTCTGAGTTTAAGGTGTAAATTGAAGAGATGCTAATATGAGGCCTTTTGAGCTTGACAGAATTTCGTTTATCACCTAGGAGTATGAAGGTAAAAATATACCTTTACTTTTAGTATCGTTGCTACTCGCAATGCTCCCTTTTTGCTCTTTAACCATTTGAGCCTTTTGAGTAAGAGTGTTTTTGAAAGGACTTAAGCTAGGCAAGCTTTTCATGCTTGATTTATTGCCAATAATAGTTTTGATCGCAGTAAACTGAGGAGTTACCCTAGATTCAGTGCTGATATTTTTGGCAGAGGAAGTAAATCCACTTTGGATATTTGATTCAGAAGTTTGAGATGATACTTCTGATCCCATAAAGCTGAAACCTGATTTAGGCTTCTTTCCAAAAATATTGGTTCGAGGAAGGCAATTTATATAAGCTCCTTGTAGCTCTTCTTTAGGAATTCTTCCTAATGAGCTTAGGGGTTTTGAACTATCATTATGATCTCTTCCTGTACTTCGACCTCCAAACTGAGGACTTCCATTTGAATAGGAAGCATCTGCTAAATAATGGGTTAGCCGTTGTCTAAATTAACACATACTTATATATGCTTGTTCTTGAAGCTGGATAAACTTCCTCAAGATCGTATACTTTCAGGATCTGAGAATATATTGCTTGTAGTCTTCTGCTCTTCCCTAAAAGCTCAGTAAAACCGTTGCTAGAAAGTGTATTTAAAAGTAAGGGTAAATCAAAATAAAATTTGAAGTTGGACTAAATAGTTACTCTTGGCAATATTAGTCAGAGCATTTTAGATGCGTACTTTATTATTTCGTTAATGATGTCTTCCATGTGGTCATTATGACTAGAAGTAATAAGCCTGCTTGATTTTGTGCCATCGTAATACTCTATGTTGTTGCTCTCTTTGATGATGTAAAGTATTTTATTTTATTTCCATTTCCTTTAACTTCTTCTTTTCATTAGAACTAACAGAGGCTGCGAGCTGCCTGTAATTGATGTGGGCTTTGCTGTTCTCCTTAGTTTTGACAGTTGAATCCTTCTTTGATGGTACTTTCATTAAGTATCTGATCTTCAGAGACACTGCTCCATATGAGCCTACTTCTAGCAGAAGGGAACATAAATTCGTGATTATAGTGCTTGCAAGCAATAGTCTTACTCCTGAATCTTCATTAATATCGGCAATAGCTAGGGTTTTGAAAGAGCTAATAAAGATAATTCAGAGAGTAAGGATCGATTTTGTAACCAAGGTCGATAACCTGAATCTTGATTTAAGGTAGGCCAGAAACATGAGAAAAATTCTTCAAATCAGCAGGAAAAATGTGAATCAGTTGAGTGCTACAATGGTGGATTCTTCTGAGTAGTATATCATTAAGCAAATGAATTCAGCAATTCACATTAGTACCAAAAAGAATTCAGTAAGGAGGACTACTCGGAATAATATTTGGTAGCAAGGTATATCAGTAACTTCTTCGACCATAATGGTAAGTCTGATTTATTATAAATACAGTCTATATGGGGTTTTGGGGTTTTGGGGTTTTGGGGTTTTGGGGTTTTGGGG